AAGATAGGAGAGGGTGAACAGAAGTAACGTGATTTTTTCTTTTCCCCCGATCGCATCCTGTTTTTTCCATGTAACCTCCCGCCAAAAGCTGGCGCAAGCGATAGAAGGGAGCGGAGGTTGTGGAAAGATGTACATAGCTTCGTCGCTTCCTTTTGTAGCGAGGGAATGTGAGAAGTGGATGGCATATCCCAGAGTTAGTGCGTGTCAATTGGTTTTACATGCCATCTCTTCATCCTTTATTTGGCCACGCTCTTGGGCGTCCCTTTCATTCACAAGGACATGCTCAACAACAAAGCCGCGAGCAAATTGTCTGACCCACCAACATCTTCAACCCATAAAGATTTGACTACCAAATCCTTAAAACCTTTTTAATAGCAAATGCTAGCGGTCTCTCTCTTTTGCTAATAATCTTCTGGAAATGAAAGGACAATAATAGAGTTTTAGATCATAGGATGGTGTAAGGACTGGGTTCTTCTCATCGCTGACGTCCTTTCCTTGTCCAAGTCACGGAGGAAGAGAGGTTGGTTTGTGGTCCCAAGAGCTTGTATCCTTCCCTTTCTATCTCTTCCACTTCATCCAGGAAACATTTGTGGATGGACATGTCGTTAATAAGATCATTGCCGTTCGGTTTACCATCCCGTTTATTGATTGAATGTCTCTCTTCGTTGTCTTCGATTTTCAATACATCTGAGATGCTTCTGGGTATGAGGTTGAATAAATTGGCGATGCAAAGAAAATCACCATGGTTGGAACAGAAAGTTAATCATTACCAAGAATAGGTTCATAGTCTCTCCTCTGCTGGTTGCGTTCTCATGTACTTGTTCACTTTGCAACCTTTCTACTTGTCTATCTATCTTCCCAATCTCTCTTTCTCTCTCTCGCATTGTAAACGTTAGAAGCACCCGGATGGGGGAAAAACCCGGGCGGGTAACAACAAATATGAAGAAGAGGAACTGGCTAACACTTTCTGCTCTCCCGTCTTTTCGCGGCTATCAGGATTAGTAAGAATTACGAAAAATGCCTATGAAGAAATAAATAGATACGTAAAAAATAAAAAAATCAATAGACAAATGACAGAACCAAGAACATGAAAGTAATTGAGTCAATAAATGAAACGGTTTATTGGGAGACAAATTATTCTTGTCCATCAACAACCCTCTCCAACACAGTGAAAAACCTTGAGTGGACAATGATGGATATGATGGAAAAACACAAGATAATAAAACGAAGTAAGCTATGAGATTACAAAGATTCTGTAACTATTGCCCTTTATTTTTTTGTTCGCACGCCTTTTTCCGTCCAGCGGCAATGAGACCCAGGGAGCCCTCAACCCCCCCCACCCGAAACGGCCGCCGAGAAAGGCGAACGAAGCGCGCGCGCGCCGACGCGGCGACTAGCCGCGCAAAGGCAGAAGGCTGGGCCCGGACGGGCCAGCCAAAGCAAGGACATCGGCGAGGTCGGGCTCGCCTTGCGCAGCCGGCCGCGCGGGGGAAAGCCAACGCCCTCCGAGCAGAGTGGAAGCGAGGGCGCGCTGCAAGGCGGCGCTGAGCAGTGCCCACCACCTGCGGCGCCAACCCGCCTCGGCAACGCGGCGGACGGCTGGAGGCGCGCGGAGTGCCCGGAGGCGCACCAAGCGATCAACTAAGCCGCACGCCTCGGGGCCCCACCGCCCGCCCGTTTCACAAGCAAGAACGACCACTCGCTGCGGGCCAGGCCGGCAAAGCTCCGGGTACCGCGCCTCCTTGCGGCGCCGCGCTACCGCAATGGCTGCGCCGTCCTCCTCGGCCGCGCGTGGCTGCGGTCGGCCGTCGCGACGGAGCGGAGCAACGAGCGTGGCGTCGCAGCACAGCGCTTCGCCCAAGCGCGTGGCGCCGTAAAGAACAAGATCCAGGCGGCGCCTGTCCTGCGCACTGACGCCTGGCGCAGAAGTGTTGGCCAACCACTGCTGAGGGACAACCCTGCCCTCGGGCCCCAGACCTTCACGCGCGACGCGGACCCACGCTTGTTCCTTGCGCTGCTTCGCATGCTTCCCCCAACTGCAGAGTACGCACAGGCGCATGACGTGGCCATTGCGTCAGCCCTTGCAGCCTGGCTCGGGGTTGGAGACCCCTTTGCCAGCCCGTTTGGACCCCGCCAGCATGGAGAGAATTGCTTGCCGACGTGCGTGAACCTGCGGCACGTGCCCAAGTTATTGTGGATCAGCTAGAGGGCCGAGCGCGTCCAGTCCGGATTCTGGCTGATTTGCAGGCGGCCAGTGCGCGCTTGACCGGGCTAGGGGTCGAGCCGCCGTCGTGGCTTGCTTTGCTTGGGACGATGCGCCTCGCCCGCCTGACATCGAACAGGATGCCGCGGGCTTTGGGCGAGGCTGGCAGCAGGCCGCGGCCGCGGTGCTTGATTTGCGCCGGGCTAGCGCCCACTGTGACGGCCTTGATCCAGCATCCCTTGCCTTGTTGCGCTTGCGCAGCACCCAGCCTTGCACGCCACAGGCGCATCTGCAGGCGCACGCAGGCATCCAGGTCAACTTGGGGAAGACTCGGGCTTGGAACGCCGCCGGCGGCCGGTGGGCGATCCGTCCCTGCCGCCCGACAAGCAGGGGTTGGTTCTCGGCAGCCTCTCGTTCACACAAGCGCTCTTGGCCGAGAAGCGCGCGGCCCAAGACGCACTCCTGCAGCGTATCCCGGCCGTGCCGCACTTGCAGTCGGCGTGGCTGATACTGCTGCTGTTCGGCGCGCCCGTGCCAACTACTTGCTCCGCATCCTGCCCCCTTGCCAAACACTTGCCTTCGCCCGCGAGCACGGTATGGCGGTGCTGCGCTGCCTGGGTCACCTCCTGCGTGCGGAGGAGCCCCTTGAGCTTGACGACTTGCAGCGCCGACGGGCCCAGCTACCGCTGGCTAGGGGCCGGATGGGCTTGCGGTCTGCCGAGCGAGGGCGGTCTGCTGCGCAGAGCAGGCCTAGCGTGCGCACCGCAGCCGAGGCCGCTGAGGCGCTCCGGGATGGTGGTTTTCAGCCCCCCACGTGGGACGAGCTGCTGCGCCTTGACCCGCGCAGCCAGGGTAGAGACTTTGGCGATTACACCCGTGGATGGCAGCGTGCTGCCGGAATGGTGCTTGACGCCGCTGACGAGGCTGGTCTACTTGCTGACCTTGATCTTGCCTCTCGCGTGTTGTTCTTTCCCAAGCAGGCGACCATGCCGGGTGCTTCTTCACTGTCCTCCCCACCACCCCCGAGTTCAGCGTCCCTGACCCTCAATTTCGGGTTGCGGCCTTGCACCGCCTGCGCGTGCCGCTGAGCGGGTGTGCTCGTGTCGGGGCGCCCTGGATGCCTTGGGGGACCACCGTGCGGCGTGCGCGCGCGCGCCGGCGTGTTAGGGCCGCGCAGCTGGGGCAGTGTGCCCTTGGAGCGCACCGCTGCCAGGATCTGCCGCGAAGCTGGAGCCCGCGTTGCTGATGAGAACGCGCTCCTGCGCGACCTCAACCTCGACGCGCCGGTGCTGGACGACCGCCGCTTGGAGGTTGTGGCCAACGCCTTGCCCATTTGGGGCGGCGTGCAGGTCGCGGTTGACACCACCCTCGTCAGCCCTGTCCGAGCTGACGGTGCTCCGCGGCCAGGGGCCGACCGCGAACCCGGCCTCACCCTGCGCCAGATCCGCCGCCGCAAGCGCCACCACACTTACCCCGAGCTCCTCCAGAGCCGGCGCTGCCGCCTGCTCGTCCTCGGTCTCGAAGTTGGCGGCCGGTGGCTCCCGGAAGGGGTTGCCTTTGTGCGCCTGCTCGCACGCGCCAAGTCGCGCCGAGTCCCCGAACTGCTGCATGGAGCTGCGTGCAGGCATATTATGTGCGGCGCTGGACTGACCTTCTCGCAGTCGCCGCGCAGCGCGCGCTCGCCTCGAGCCTGCTGCAGCTCCCGCTGTTCGGGGAGACGTGCGTTGACGGCGCGGAGCCGCCGGTGAGCGACTTCCTCGCCGATGCCAGGCGGGCCGGCGCTGAGCCGCCTTCCCTTCACCGTCTTACCCCGTTGCTTGCGGTCGGAAAACAGTGCGCGAACAAAACAAAAAACAAAAAAAGAGTCGATGATCGCCTTGCCCTCCAGCCTGTGGACCAGCTCGATGCGGCCGCCGGCGCCATGCTTGTTTTCCAAGCCGGCCTTTGCTTTCCGGGTGTTTTCGGCTGCTCCCACTTCCTTTGCCTCGAACCTTCGCTTTTCCGCGTGCTCCTCCTTGGCCGTTTGCGGCTCACTTTGTGTTTGGGTTCTGCCCACGTATGCCCCCCCATCTCGCCAGTTCCCACCCTGCTCGAAACAGCAAGTCATGTGACAGTCAAAGCAGAGGCAACTCTTGAGAGGACCCTGGCCTTGAGCCAGATTTGCGGGACTTTTTCCACGGCGAAGCTGGAAGGTAACCCAAAGCGCAGGCGACGGCAGGTAAGCAGGGCACCGCGACAGCAAAGCGCACAAAGGCGTCCGCCTCCGGGCCCCAACGCCCCGACTTCTACCCTGAACACGGCCAGGCGGGAGCGCAGCCCATCGTGCAGTAGTTTTCGCTGGTGTTGCGTCATCACTCCAGTCCTTTTTTTCAGCTCGCATGCTCGATGCGCAAGTGTTTGCTTAGCATGGTGGTTGGACCTTCGCCGTTGGTGAGAATCCACGGCACGGGTTGCTTGAGGTCTTGCACGATGCGGCATTCCAAAATCCAAGTTTGGTCTGCAAAAGCCCTAGTCGAATATGGAAGGTGTGTGTTGTTGTTCCGACGTTTGGGACAGGATTTGCCTTGCAATGTTGCAGCAGACATTGTTCAATATTTTGTGGGATGCGCTAAATCTTGAGGATCAGAATGCGGACATCCGTGCCAATGTGCAAAACAAATGCAAGCATGTGCATAGCAATTCCAGAGCACATTTGCAGCACATACTTGTTTAGACACTTTGCGTTCTGCTGAGGCATAGCGGACCAAGAATGGCAAGGAACGCACGCAACCCGAGCAAGCAACGCAGCACGAAACCAAAACGCAACACTGCTTTTGTGCCGAGCTGATGTTTGCCTTGGCCCTCGCGAGGCTGGAGCGCGAAGCGTGCAATGCATGATGGGGAAAGTACAACGCACAGTGTGCGACAGATGGCTCGCTAAGTGTGAGCATGTGTCTCACGGGAAGGGCAAGGGCTCGGCAAAGCAAAGGACTAAGAGGGATCAAAAATCCGAAGTCTCAACTCAGTCCTTGCTCTTGGCGCTAGTCGAATTAACTCGGATCTTTTTGGGCTTCTCCGGGCCGTTGTCTTAACCACGAGGAGTCTTTCACGCCATTGGGTGAATATTTGATAGTGTCCATGTGTTTGGGCACCTTGTTAACCGGTGACCACATAGAGTCCTGACAGCAAATTTGCGGGGCGGCATGTGCTGAGTTTGCTTAAGCAGGCCGGGCGGGCTCTGCAGTCATGTGGTTTCTGTGTCGGTTGTGCTGGCCCCTGGTGCGACCCGGCAATTCCAAATATCCGTGGTTGGGCTTATTTGTCTTTTTGATTGACACCCACTTTACTAGGCCCCCCCTTACAAGTTGAATTGGGGGATGGGGGTCGCTCCATTTGCACTTTTTTCGGGAAGACGAGAACACTGGAATTGAGACACCTCCCACTTCCCTCCCCCGTAAGGTAGGGGGGCAACCCTTCACCAGCTCCGACCAGGCATTCCACATGCACCACCTCGCTGAAGAGCCAAGCCCGCAGCTCGGGCACTTCAGCGAAGGGGCCGGCCCTTTGTGCGGCGTGCTACAAACGGGAAGAACGCGCCTCAAAAGAAGGAAGCAAAACAGCGGCTGTATGCAACAACGCGCGACTGAGGGGGGGGGGTGGCTCTTGTCTCGTAATCACTCCCCCCCCCCCTCCGTTTCCGCGTCGGGCCGGAGCAGGTGCGGGTGTAGAAGACAGAGAACACATTAAGCATGGTTTGACTAATCCACCCGGGAAGTTGGCCTGCTCCTTGCAGACTATTTGTTGCCGAATTTCGGTCGGACCCATGTTGATTTCCAGGACGGTAGTGTTGTTCTAAACGTTGTATGCCTCATTGTTCACGGCCTTAGAAAAAGGAGCCAGAGCTGCTGTTGTGTTTCTTTTTTGGAAAAGGCCAGGCTGAGAATCACGAGCCGGAAAGAAGAAACACATGTCAAGTGGGTGTGGCTCAAATTAATTTCCCAAAATCGCACCTTTGTAACTGGAACCAAAGGCCAAAACCTGCGTAACCCTAGCTCTTGAAATTTGAGCCGCGGCCATGTCATTTTAGGGAACAAAGCAGGACTCACTCCGTCCCAAGTGACACGGTCCTTGTCCACGCTCTTGGCGTCCACGGGCCGGGCCGTTTGAGGCGCGCCGAAGAAGATGCACGCGGACTTCCTCTGTGCTCCAGGCCTTCGGATGGGCGTTTCGGGGGAAACCATGAGCCAAAGATTTCCCCTGGCGACCTAGTAGTAACTGGAAGCACTGGGGTGTATGTATACATGATGTGTGTATATATATATATATATGTATATAAAACCGTCCATTCGCAACGATTCACCAAGGGTACTGTCAAAGCAGGTACTTTGAGGGGTTCTCTCTTGAGAATGGCTTCCCTTTCAGCATGCAAATTTAGATGGTGATTTTGAGTATGTCACTTTCATGGGCCCAGGTGGCAACTGTCATGTTTCAACATGCAATTTACACGGGTCAGCCAGGACCTGCGATTTCAGGCTTTCGATTTAGCCTTCGAAGGCACGAATTTCGATTGGGAGCCCAGGCACTGCCGTGTGCAGAAGTTTTCGCAAAGGACCCCGGAGCTCCGGGCAATCCCCGGCCGTGCTGTGCGTCAGGTACCCAAGAACAACCATCCTTCTTTTCCTCGGTCCAGAGCACGCGCCTCAGAACGCCCGGTGTAGCATCCACCTGTAGCAAGTTCGGCTGGGACTTTCTAACCCAAAGGGATGGCAAATTTGCTTCTCTTCCCAGTCACTTTATGCAACACAAAATGGCTACGTGACCCAAAGCGAGCTTGAGACTATCGTTGAAGCGGCTTGGGCTGGGGTTTGATTGTCTGTCACGACGTGACATTGAAACGGCAAGCGCTTGTTCCCTTACAAACAAAAAGCGAGACCCACATGATCTCAACAGAGAGCATTCCATAGATGGCTCGATCATTTTGTTGGAGGGTAATTAACATAGAGCCTGCCAGGGGGGTCCTTCAAGACATTTTTCCTTTTAAAGGGACCCCCTTGTCAGGTTCCATGTTAATTGGTGGGAGGGTACGTGCTGCAGATTTACAAGTGATTTATTGCACGCTGTGCTGGTCAATGGGCAAGCTGGACCGCAGCTTGGGCGGACAAGCGTTGACCTGTGAGCCCTCTGCAGGCGACCAAAGGAAGCATAGATTTCGCAGGGCTCCTTTTGGGGATTCCGGGGAGGGGGGGAAGAAGTCACTGGGTACATAGTCCTTCGCTCTGTCGAAAGTTATGAACCTCAGACACCTCCATGGCCACCAGCAACATGATCCAAGTTCCCACGTTTGTAATCAGCAATCTTCCTCTTGGCTGTTCAAAGGAATCATCCCTTGCTTGCCTGCGATACTGCAGGTAAATGGAGTCACTACCGAGAAGGTTATTTTTTTTTTTAACTGAGAAGGTTTGCATAGTGTCTGCGGGCTTTTTGGTGACAGTCGACGGCCATCTCGGAGCGTCAGGCGCCCTGGCGCCCCTAGCCGAAGCCGTGTGGGGCTCTCGCTGGGGCCCCGAGGTATGGGGCCTTTTGTGCCTTTTGTTGTTGCGGCTCGTTGTTTTTTCTTGTGTTTTTTCTGTGAAGCCCATTTCGGGCCCAGTTCCGAGACAAACCCGGTTTGTTGCACCTCTGTTTTGGGTCTGGAGAAAACTAGACGGGAATCCCCACTTTGCGGCATCTTTTTGAGAGGTGGGGCTCCGTTCTGCCAGGAGACCCCCGCAGGTGCAGCGTTGGTTTTGTGTGGAAGGGGGCCCTTTCGGCCTGCTTTGTTATCACAGAAAGGCGAAGTTAGTCTCCACCACGATCAGGTTACGGTCAGCGCATGTGAATGCACACTTAGATTATGAGAGCCAAGGGCAATATGAAGGTGCGTGATTTAAACATGCTATACGTAGGAACCGCCCCCCCCCAAAATTATTAAAAGATTGATTCTAAGGCAGGGAATTTTCAGCTCAGGGTTTCAGGGGCAGGGATGAAATTAAACAAGCAAACCATTTTGTCCAAAACCTAAAGGTTGATTGTGGGGAATTTTCCTAAATTTTCTCAACATTTTTTTACATTTTTTTCATTATGAAACAGTCTAAGATTTCATCATTTTCAAGGTTCGGGTTTCAGACAATTTTAAGGCTTTCTGGGGGATTGAAGAGTTTAATCGTATTATAAGATAATAATATGAATAAACTGACTGAATTACACAGGTTCATCAACAATTAGTTTAAACCTTATGTTTTGTACTCCTCCAAAATTCATTCTACTTCTTTCATCATCAATACATCTGTATATTGTTTGATGTGCCTCCATCATTACTTCGGATATATTATCTATGGTTATATTATCTACAAAATCATCACTACGAAAATAAAAACTAAAAGTGTTAAAATGGTTGTCTTCATAATTGAAATGATGAAACCTTACAAACATATTTACCTCAACTATTATCACTGTTTCATAACCGTTATCGGTTTCAATGCCATCTAACAAACAATCTAAGTTTTCATTTTCATTAAACACTATATCTTTGATGCTTTTTATGCTTAAAGGTATATTTCTTGAAATGTAATACTCAATTACGTGTCTCTTTATATCATCGCCATCTTCAACAGTATAGCGCTTTGTCTTTCTTTTTGTTTCTGTTCTGTCTATTTTATATCGTTGTTGTATTCTCTTTAATGTCTTAATATGATTATGTTTTATTTTCAAATACTCAGGTTCTCCTAATTTATATGAAATGATATTTTTTAATACTTCAACAGGTAAGTTAGTCATTTTCTCTTAATATATTAAGGTCTTGTTTCTTTAAGTATATATATTTGACTTTAAGGTAGTTTAATAATATTATAAGATAATAATATTAATAAACTTAGTCATCATCACTAAAATCATAAGTACCCATATAATTAAACCAGTCTATAATCAACCTTTTCTTTTCTAACAAATGACAGACGAATTTATGATAAAACTTATTATCAAAAATGTTTTTATAAACGACTTTGTCTTTGTTTTCTATATATTGCCATTTCAACATTTTAAGAAAATCCCTACACATCGAGATGCTAAAATCTTTACAAGATACATAACCATCATTATTATGAAAAAGTAAATTATAATGAAATTGAGTAGCGGTTTCATAATGCAAGATTAGTCTATTGTCATATCCATACTCTTTTAATGTTTTGTCTAAACCAGTTGTAAATATTGTCCGTAATGATTTTTTCGTTGGACATTTATTTAACCTCGTCATATACCAAATCCACTTATCCATTTCTTCTAAATTGTCAGGTTCGTTTTTCATTAAATGTTTTGTAATGGTGCATCTTTTACAACATACAAAACTCAAAATATTATCAATGATACAGTCAGGAAATATGTCATTTGCTTTTTTGACTTTGTTGTTGTATATCTTACAACCACGGCATTTTACAATTTCTTTTGTCAATTCTTCTCTGATACACTTATTCATTTTTTTCTTAATATATTAAGGGGTCATTTCTTTAAGTAGTTTTATTTTTTCTTCTTGCCTCTGCTACTTTTTGTGTCAGCGCTTTCTGGGCTTCTGCTCCTGCTTCTTGTTTCCATTTGTTCCCTCGTCCATTCACTACCTCTTGCTATTTCTTCGGGTGACCGACTTCTGCTTCTCGTTTCCATTTGTCTTATACCCCATTGACTGCCTCTTGCTCTTTCTTCTGGTGAGTGACTTCTGCTTCTTGCTTCTACCTGTCGTCTTGTCCAGAATGATGCCCTTGGTTGTTCTTCTTGTTCTTCGGATTGAATGGACGGTGTGGATGTCTTCTTGTCACGTTTGAATAGTTCAAATACGCTCTTGTCTTCTCCACCTAAAAATATGTTTCTTAACGATTTTATTTCTCGGCTTTCCTCTTTCTTATCTTTTTCGGTTGATGCTGATGACGATGATGATGTTAAATGAAGACTTTGTAAATCTTCCTGCTTTTCATCTTTTGGTTCATCTTTTGGTTCATCTTTTGGTTCATCTTTTGGTCCTGAAGTTGCATTACTATAAATTTCATCAGTAAAATCTTTTGCTATATATCGTGTTGTTTGTGCGTCTGCTTCGTTGTTTTCATAAAACTGTGATGTTGGCGCTACTTCATCAAACATATCAGGGAACAATTCATGTTGAAGAACTTGTTTATCAGTTTGAACCCTAGCATTCAATCGTAGTCTCCTATCGTATTTTGAAAGGTCAAAATCATCAAAGTCTATATTATTAATTGATTTGTCAAATGTCTGTCTTTCAGGGATAATTTCAATTTTTAATCTGTGTGTCATCGCTTCTTTCAGCATTTCATCAAATGTAGGGCGTCGGCGTAATCCATAATATTTATCAGTCATATTAAATATTATAGATTATTTATTGTTGGGTTGCTTTATGGACGAAGTATTTATTATAAACATTGTCCTCATAATATTTTTGTAGTTTAACCTTCACTGCGTTTCTATCTACTCCTGTTGTATTGTTATATTCATCTAATAATTCTTTGAACTCATCATATTTAACAGCGTTAATTACATTGAATTGATGTAGTTTTGAAATTATACTATCCATTAAACTTCTTGGATTTTTTGCTAAATATACCGGCCACATCCACTTTATACCACTTAAATAATTTTTGAAAATTCGTTCATCATCAACATCTTCATTTTCAACATTTTGTAATTCCATTTCGTTTGCTTGTTCTTGCATTTCCATTATCTCAGCATTAGTAATGGTTGTTTGAGCGTCATCGTCATCATCCTTACCTTTTTTCAATGCTTCTACTTCAACTACAGGGTCGTTTTCATGTTCATCTTCTTCTTCCCCTTCCTCTAATGGTTCTAATTCTGGCATTTCATCAGCGGACACCATTGAATGAATTTCTACACCTTCTGGTATTGATTGTTTTGACACAGCACTTGCCATTTCATCGTGTTGTTCTCTCCAAAGTCTCATTTTTTCAGCAAGTTCTTCTTTCTGTTTGTTTGCTTCCGCCAATCTTTCATTAATGAAAGACTGCTGTTGTTTCAGTGTGTCATCAAGTTTAGCTCTTACACTACCACCGTCCGACGACGCTTCTTTCATAACTTCTTCTCTTCTGTTCAGTTCTTGTTTCTTCTGAATATCCAAAGCATCTTTATTATCAAACTGACTACCGTATTGATTTAATCTGTATCTGGTTGCTTTTCTGTCTATTACATTTTCAATTGATGGACGGTTCTCATCTCCTACTAATGTTTCTTTCAATAGTTCATCATAAGAAGGTCTCAAATGTAATTGTGATTTCAATGACCCTACTTTTACCGGTCCTACTGTATTCAATCTATTCATTGATTTAATCATAGTATATTAATTATTTAGAAAAATAAATTAATCAGAGATATTCTTAATCATTTCTTCTAAATGTTTCTTTCTTACTGTTAGTTGTTCCTTTGTTTGTATTCCGTCTGGTGACCGTGTGTTGTCTAATATGTTTCTTATTCTGTCTAACTCTTTTCTATAACTTTCGGTTCTGTTGCTTTCAACTAAATCGTTTCTATACTTTATTAATGCTCCTTGTGATTGTTTCGCTTCCAGTGTGTCCTTCAACTGTTTAAAGTAATTCATACGCGAGGCAACTCCCCATAAATCTGAAACGTCATAATGACGTTCTACTTGTGGTGCTCTTTTGAATTCTACATTTCTATGACTTCTCATAAGCATGATGTATATATATTATAATTAGATTATTATTTAAAACATTGATGAAGATAATTTGTTTATTTTTTCTTGTTTATCTTGTTTTTTCTTTTGTTTAAGTTCTTCATAATGTTGGTTTAATAGTTCTGTTGCCGTGGGTTTCTTAATGGTTTCTTTAATCACTTCTTGCTTAATCTCATTCTTAATTTCTTCTTTCAATTCTGGTTGAATCTTTCTAATATTCTTTTGTGGATTGACTGGTAATAATTCAGTAGGCACACCCTTACAATTCTTAGGATGTGAAAAACGAAATGATTTAGCATTCATAGATTTACCGCATTTATCACATTGGACTACTTCAATTTCTTTCTTTGTTCTTGGTAATGCTTTTGCTTTTGCTTTTGCTTTTGGTTTGTCTATGGTTTCTTTTGTTGGTTCTTCAGTTGGTTCTTCTGGCGTTGGTTCGCGTAGCAACGCGAAGGCTTCGCGTTCTTCATTAACTGTTTCATTTTGTTCAACAACCTCATTATTAATAGGTGCTTCGTCTGTTTTAGTTTCATTATTAACATCTACTACCTCAATACTTGTCATATAATATATTCTATATATTTTCTATTAAATTTCTATATAGAATATATTTAAATAATATCACTTTTTACGAAAAGGAGACTCAGACTAACATTAACCCCATTCAAATTAATTTCATTACCTAATGAATTAGACAACCAGAAGTCTAACTGTTTAAAGCTTCTATTTGACACATTTGACACATCCAATAATCCAGTGGGTTCATTTCATTATCAAAGACAATTCCCGCGTGTGGTGCTGTGACT